CCATCAGTTAAGATGATATAGACTGAGTCAATAGCTCAATCACTGCAAGGAATCCAGCTGTCCAAGCCTCTTCTAACGGCGAAAACTTCATATGCGCTCCGGTTTGGCAGTTGGAGTTTGTCAGGGTCTAATCAAGTTTAAACCCCTGAAAAGAGAACACATGAGCATTTGACCCATGCTGATTTTTCTCACACCGATGATGGTGGATGAAACAGAACTCTTGTTTTAACTCACGCTTCTTTTCAGCCAACTTGTCACGCTCGTCTTCGTTCTCCAGTGGCCATTGTGAGTGGTTCTCATCGATGATTGGCTGATCTGCTTGAGAAGACTCGGGTTCACTGGAAACCGTCGCCATACTGGGGACTTGCGACCAATCGGTGAGGAAAAAGTGGCTGTACCATACTGGAGCGCGGGCCAAATGAAGGATTGTCTCAGAGAGCGTCGAGTTGGGCGAAGGTAGAATGGGTCCGGAAGAAGATGCGGCACTGAAGGACGAGTCTGACGTGGGTGTGAAGATTCGTTGCAATGCAGGAGAATTCGTCACTGTGGAATGTCTTGAGTCGAACGCAAGGGACGAAGAAGCCATGAGCGTGCTGGAAGCACCAGTAAAATCAATATATCCATCAGAAGGACCGAGGAGATTGAGACCGTGGTGAAGTATGGCCTCGCTGTGACGGGGTAAAAGAGACGGCCGGGGAGAAAAAAATTAGGGTTGAAGAATAACCTCAACAAAAAATTTCCCGCCACCAACAATCAGGTTGGTTCAAGGACATTTTCATTATACGAAACATCTCAAGTTTCAGAATGGATTCAGACAAAGTTGGGAAACCATGCGTAACTTTCTATTCATATCAATTCCGTTTGAACAATTCACCGGCTACAATGAAGATGTCTGATTTAGGAGCTTCATAAGGAAAGTCACATAAGTGCTGTTAGAAATCACTTCTGATCACTTTCAGTGTTTGACCATCGATGTCTTCGGAGCATTGCCCGAATCTGGTGGGAACACCGGAGCAGCAAGGCTGAAGTTCGTCGAATGGTATTCGGGAGAAATAATTCACCCTCGATAAAAGAACTGATTACACCGCATAGGTTGCGCCGGCTTGGCCACGTGTTGCGTATGCCAGTCGACCGAAATCCTCGAAGGGCTCTTTTCGCACAACCACGTGAAAGGTGGAAGAGAGTCAGAGGCAGTGAAGTATAAAAGCCATCACCAGCAAACTCAGCTGCGCTGGTCATTGCCGTCTTCCTGGATGGGGACCCCGAGAGGGGCCATATCAATGGTTGGAGACATTGTCAGAAATGGCCCAGTCGCGCCCTCAACGGTGCCCATGCATCCAAGCTATTGTCTTCAATGCAAAGCTCTCCTCCCAATCCCCCATTTAACAGTCCACCTACGGTGCTGTATTGACGCACTAATTTATCAGCTCCCGCCTCCAATACGCAGCTACCTACCCCACCTCCCCGAATCATCGGTGAACGAAACTGTGACAGCTACAACCACTGTACGACCAGTACGCGATGGCTACAGCTGACAATGATGATGAGAATCGGTCTGGGCATACACAGCTATCATGTCACATGTACCCGTAACCTGTACTGAAGAGGGTCCACTGCTAGTGAAGACCCTGCCCTCGTCCTTCCCAGTCTGAGCACCCGCCCGACCGGAAGCGGATGTTTTCCAGTCTCCGAAGCTTAGAATTCTTTGCTGAATCAAATAGAGAGTTTAGCCCGAATGGCTTTGGTAAGGTCTGGAATCGAGTATCTTGGACACAAACCCTATAAGCCAGGTCGGTAGGATTCGGGCCACGGTTGCTTGCTGATTGAAAAAAAAACAGGTGAGTCAGCTCTTGGACAGAACATGGCTCACCAAAAGTGAAACGCAGCGCCAAGAAAATTCTATACTCAGCAAGCACTCATCTCAATGGTCTCAGTAAATACAGGATGAACAAATGTGAGCAGTGCTCAACCCAACTATTCGACCAGGACCAAAATACTATATTTGTAGATGGGATAGAAGAGGTTATCGAAACTCACTTGATCGCTTGCTCCAAATCATTCCACACTTCAGCCAGTTCCACTCCTGGACGATAGGGAAAAGAGGCATCCAGTTTTTTGGCCGCACGATTCCCATCCTCCGACAGATTGTCGTTTATCACAGGATTGACGGGTTCCGATACACTGGTTGGGTGTGACACTGGGGACGACGAAGGTTGACGGCCAGTATCTGGTTCTGGCAAACGCGACGACAGGGTGGAGGGTAGAGCTAGATGAAATGGTCCTTACGAAAAACTCGGATACCCGGGAAAAAAACGAGAGCTCCGTGGCCAATCGGAAAATAGAACGACAAAAGAATATTCACTATCAAGGAGGGATCGCGTTTCTACTGCCGGTACCTAGTGCGAAGAAGACCAGCATTCCACATCGACCTGGCAGACGTAAATTAGCAACACCGTTTGTGAATGGTTCATTTGTTTCAACTAACTATCGATTTTCACGGAGGACCGGATAAGCATCACAGTGTGCTTGGATTCTTACACATATTGCTCATTAAGGATATGTCAAGGTATTTTTTCTGTTGAGCCGACAACATTTTCACCCTAATGAGCACTAACTCCGCTGCATGGAAACCGTGACACGCGTTCCCCAAACACAATATTCAGAGCTGTGATCAAATTCAGGTTGGTGAAGGCTTGCATTCTAGCTGCCATGTTCCGCACATTACCTTCAACTCGTTCTGTGGCCTAAAAACCACGCCAATAACTCAGCCCCGAAGAGATTCGTGGATAGCCAAACACAAACCGTCCTCCGAGATACTGACCAAAAGTGAGTGGTGTTGTGGTCTACTGGTGAGCACATGATCGATTATTTTATTCACAGTGTATGTGACGGGCGTATGCGACAGTGACAAGCGACACGAGTGTTCGGTGACCACGGCGACGTGGAAATCGAATGAGCGGGTTCTTAAGGTTCGCAGTGTGAAAGGAAGCAGGTCAGTCGGTTGAAGAAGTATGACTCACCGAACACGAGGAGACAGATACCACTGGCGAAATCGAAGGAGCGTTTGCTACGTGACTACGGCATCACTTACCTTTAGGCCCTGAGACCAGTGTCGGGACAATGACGCTTAGGTGCCACTCACTCACTCACTGTGCTACATGAAACGGGAAACAAGGTCAAGATAAACGGAGCAACGGAGTACAGTTCGAGAATAGGACGGAAGACATGTAAATACCACTGAAGCTTTTTTCAGTACTCTAACAGACAAGTCATCTGAGAAAACACAAACCTAGCACACACAGTTCACTCACCGGGGATCTGAGGCAATGACGCACCGTCGTGAGTGGTACTGTTCATCCCGGAAACGCACGTCGCCAGAACTATATCCGTGCCATTGAGCTCCAGTGTTGAGGGTTCCCAGGCTGACTCAGCCAAAGGACACACGGAGATGCGACTGGGCTGTAAAGTCCACAAATCGACTTCGTTGGGATGCGCGTGAGCGAAATGGGAGTAGACTGCACATCGGTTGAAGGCTTTAACAATTCCACCAAAGAGCACAGTACAGTAGGGTGAGTGCGAGGGGAGTTGTTGTTGTATTGTGCCAGCAGATGTGTTAGTCAGAGGACCGACAGAACCACCACTTATAGCAGCGGAAGGCCCGGAGGAAGCGTCCGAACCAAATGAATTCAGTAAATCGACGACAGACATGTGTAGGTCGACCGCTGGGTTCTCTTCTACCGAGGTAAGGTGTGCCGTTTCTGAGCCCCGACATATGTGACATCGATAAAAGATACGTGCCAGGGGACGCAACATGTGGCTGTCGTACAGAGATGGACTGGTGAATGTCTGCTGGCAGCAGAGGCAGACATGGAATCCCTGGTTGGGGGAGAAGGTAAATGACGACAGGCGAACATCACACATTGGGGCAGTGTATCAAGCACAATTTCAGCGGTCCACTCAGCTCAAACAGACTAGCTGCCATGCCACCCAAAGGAAGCACGAGGGCTGGGATGCTGCCAGGTTGCCCAAGCCTAGACGGGGGAAGTCGAGAGGCAGAGGTCGGGTTCGAACATCGGACCTTCCGGTCAGTGAATTCGCGCTCTAACCGCCTAAGCCATCTCCCCCCTCGAACAGACCAATGTGCTCTCCACTGAACTATACCATACTGTACTATCATGATGGCGACCAATAGACATGTACATTCCTATGGAGCTTTGACGAACACCCATATTCATATATGCAGGTATATAGGTATACCATAATTTCCCATTATGAGTAGTCTCCTCTGGGGTAAGAACTCCCTTGGAACTGAAAACTAAAAAAGACAATCAAAGGAAGGAACGAAAGTATTCTGCTGACTAAACGAATGGACCGTTTTGCCCTACAGTGAGGAATAGTCCAAGGATATGGAGAAACACGGGGAGAGATGGCTCAGTGGTTAAGGCGCCAATTTACTGACCGGAAGGTTCGAGGTTCCAACCCAACCCCCGCCTCTCGACTTGCCCTGTCTAGGTAACCTGGCAGTATCCCAGTCCTCGTACTGCCTTTGGGTGGGGTGGCACCGAAAGGATGCTACAGCTCAACGTAACGAGCAACACAATGACGGCAGTGGTTCACTTGAGGAATATCAACTGCGGGTAAGAATGAAAGCAATAACTTACTTTTCGTGATCCACAATCCGTTGAGGTGCGCTTCATCAGGTTATTTGTGCGCGCCTCCATTGGTATGTCAAAATCGATTGAATTCGGGGGAAGCTGAGAGGAAGAGGAAGACACGCGGGATTCTTTAGCAAAAGCCTTTGATAACCTCGCTAAATCCTATTGAAGCAAAGACCGCGATCGCCCCTCATCATGACATCATCAAGCAAAGCTCTCGCAACGAACTGAACCGTTCACCAAGGACAATAGTCGAGGAAGGTTGACCTAAGAACTTACCAATCGTGTTCTGTACATGACTAATTGAGGTGATGCTATGAGCAAAACACAATCGTTTCAGGAAAGTCTGAGAGGAACGACATTGTTGCCAGGCCGGAGACCGCTATTTCCGAACTGAATGCATCGTATTGATGTTACAGTGTGTGTGGGTTGCGGGGGCGAGATGGACCAAGAGGCCAGGGTGCGAATTTAGTGACCGGAAGTTCCGTGGTTCGAACCCGACCTCTGCCTCTCAACTTCCCCTGTCTCGGCTTGAGCAACCTGGCAGTATCTTAGCAATTCGGATACAACCGTTCCACCAGCAGTTACAAAAAATCACTAAACTGTAAAACCCCTTTGGTTACTGGCTGCCATGCCACCCGTGGGGAGCACGAGGGCTGGGATACTGCCAGGATTCCCAAACCTAGATAAGGTCGGGTTCGAACCGCAGACCTTCAGGTCAGTAAACCGGGACCGGGCTGCAAATGAAACTCTAACACAGTTTAGCGGGTACGCATTTCGTACCAACAGAAGGTCTAAGGGTTTTGACAACCAGTTCAGCATTAGTTAACTAACTGAGTCACCTTTGGATGGAGGTCCTATGTAAACAGGCATCTTTCCAACCGGACAGCATTCAGTTCCCTGATTTGCGGATTGCATGTTCGTGATCGTAATTTTTTAAAGATACGCGTTCTATGAAAATATCGACTTCAAAAACTTTGTTCTCGACCAATCAGAACGACCCACACTATTACCGATCGCGGGCAGGGTTGGAATCGGACTTCGTCCTTCAGAACCCCGTGTTCAAGAGGAACTCAAGTTGGCTTGCAAATTTCGATGCACACAGTTGTCTGCTATTGACGTCACTCAGTTGACCCTATGACCCACGTGCCCCCGCACCTTTGCTTTTCTGAGTAGTATCGTATAAGTTTGCGATGTATCGGAATGCAAAAAAAAGAACGATCGGAGGAAGCTAGCCTTGCCTTCATCCTCGTTCTCCTGGATTTCACGCTATCTTCGACGATTCAGCCAAAAGCTGAATCGCATAACTGGGTGTATGTCATTCTAACCAGAGTTCAAAATGAGTTTCAACGTTATAAGTGCCAATCACGTGCAGCGTTTGCGTTTCGTGCATACCTGCATGTTATGTTGTAGACGTGGTGCGTTCTGTTCGACTATTGAAGGATTTCGCTTAGAGGACAGAGACTAGTTGAAGAAAAACTCGGTCAGAAAAAAAGCTCCTTTTAAGTATTCTGCTGACTAAACGAATGGACCGTTTTGCCCTACAGTGAGGAATAGTCCAAGGATATGGAGAAACACGGGGAGAGATGGCTCAGTGGTTAAGGCGCCAATTTACTGACCGGAAGGTTCGAGGTTCCAACCCAACCCCCGCCTCTCGACTTGCCCTGTCTAGGTAACCTGGCAGTATCCCAGTCCTCGTACTGCCTTTGGGTGGGGTGGCACCGAAAGGATGCTACAGCTCAACGTAACGAGCAACACAATGACGGCAGTGGTTCACTTGAGGAATATCAACTGCGGGTAAGAATGAAAGCAATAACTTACTTTTCGTGATCCACAATCCGTTGAGGTGCGCTTCATCAGGTTATTTGTGCGCGCCTCCATTGGTATGTCAAAATCGATTGAATTCGGGGGAAGCTGAGAGGAAGAGGAAGACACGCGGGATTCTTTAGCAAAAGCCTTTGATAACCTCGCTAAATCCTATTGAAGCAAAGACCGCGATCGCCCTCATCATGATCATCATCAAGCAAAGCTCTCGCAACGAACTGAACCGTTCACCAAGGACAATAGTCGAGGAAGGTTGACCTAAGAACTTACCACTCGTGTTCTGTACATGACTAATTGAGGTGATGCTATGAGCAAAACACAATCGTTTCAGGAAAGTCTGAGAGGAACGACATTGTTGCCAGGCCGGAGACCGCTATTTCCGAACTGAATGCATCGTATTGATGTTACAGTGTGTGTGGGTTGCGGGGGCGAGATGGACCAAGAGGCCAGGGTGCGAATTTAGTGACCGGAAGTTCCGTGGTTCGAACCCGACCTCTGCCTCTCAACTTCCCCTGTCTCGGCTTGAGCAACCTGGCAGTATCTTAGCAATTCGGATACAACCGTTCCACCAGCAGTTACAAAAAATCACTAAACTGTAAAACCCCTTTGGTTACTGGCTGCCATGCCACCCGTGGGGAGCACGAGGGCTGGGATACTGCCAGGATTCCCAAGCCTAGATAAGGTCGGGTTCGAACCGCAGACCTTCAGGTCAGTAAACCGGGACCGGGCTGCAAATGAAACTCTAACACAGTTTAGCGGGTACGCATTTCGTACCAACAGAAGGTCTAAGGGTTTTGACAACCAGTTCAGCATTAGTTAACTAACTGAGTCACCTTTGGATGGAGGTCCTATGTAAACAGGCATCTTTCCAACCGGACAGCATTCAGTTCCCTGATTTGCGGATTGCATGTTCGTGATCGTAATTTTTTAAAGATACGCGTTCTATGAAAATATCGACTTCAAAAACTTTGTTCTCGACCAATCAGAACGACCCACACTATTACCGATCGCGGGCAGGGTTGGAATCGGACTTCGTCCTTCAGAACCCCGTGTTCAAGAGGAACTCAAGTTGGCTTGCAAATTTCGATGCACACAGTTGTCTGCTATTGACGTCACTCAGTTGACCCTATGACCCACGTGCCCCCGCACCTTTGCTTTTCTGAGTAGTATCGTATAAGTTTGCGATGTATCGGAATGCAAAAAAAAGAACGATCGGAGGAAGCTAGCCTTGCCTTCATCCTCGTTCTCCTGGATTTCACGCTATCTTCGACGATTCAGCCAAAAGCTGAATCGCATAACTGGGTGTATGTCATTCTAACCAGAGTTCAAAATGAGTTTCAACGTTATAAGTGCCAATCACGTGCAGCGTTTGCGTTTCGTGCATACCTGCATGTTATGTTGTAGACGTGGTGCGTTCTGTTCGACTATTGAAGGATTTCGCTTAGAGGACAGAGACTAGTTGAAGAAAAACTCGGTCAGAAAAAAAGCTCCTTTTAGATTTGAGTTTTGCGTGGAGGGACTATCATCGGTATCGACGACAAGACACTGGAAGTCTATTATGAGATTCAGGGGGGGGGGGGGCGCAACAGTACGTCAGTATTCTACACTATAGGAGACGTGACGAAGTTCGACAGGAACCGGCACTCACTGTTGTTTCCCTTACGGTTGAGTGCTTATTGAACGACAAGAAGGAGCCGACATAAAGATGGTCGACAGAGGACAGTGTATAGTTTTACTGTGCCGTCGATCAACCGACCAATAGCTGCCACCCTGATGTGATAGTCGGACTCTGATGATCCCACCGGCTACACTGGCTGCAAAACTTCTTCCCACAACCCCAGGAAAATCACAGGAAAGCAAACGCTGTTGGCGAGATGGACCAAGTGGTTAGAGCGCGAATTTACTGACCGGAAGGTCCGTGGTTCGAACCCGACCTCTGACTCTAGACTTCCCTGTCTAGGCTTGGGCAACCTGGCAGTATCCCAGCCCTCGTGCAACCTTCGAGTGGCATGACAGTTAGGCACCGAAAGGGTGCTACAGCAGAACAAACGAACGATGCTGACCATACCACGAATAGGTGTGACAAGAGGGGGTCTGGAACAATCTGCAATAGGAGTGTAAGGGCAGTAACGTGTTTTCATGCAAGCAACATCCCTTCTACGAAGGACGGACTAGAAAAGGGGAGCCCTAAATCCCACATACCCCGGTTGGCCAGTAGTTGACCGTGGCCGCTGCCGCATTATTCAACACGGGCGAATCCAGAGCCGTATACTACCCACAGGGCACTCGCTATGCACAACCGAAATAAAAGTCCGACAGCTATGCCTTACACCCTCCCATAACCGAGTGGGTCAGCCTACTGTCTCTGGACAGGGTTCTCCAAGAAAACCCTAATGCCTGTTGTCTTGCAAGTGGGAATGTTGAGTCATGGCCCCGGGACAAAACTAGCCTGTGGGTCAGACTTTTCAAAGGGTCAATTTGGGTCACCTCAACTGGGATCTTCTCCATCATCTTATGCTGCCGCCGCTTGAGAGCAGCGGCTAGTTTCCATAACATACTTGTACCAAAATTAATCATTTCCCTCACACGTTAGCAGCTCCCGTAAGATTAGCTTCAATCTCTGACCATCTAACTGGAAAAATGAAATGTGAACAAGACGGAATGGAATCTGTTTGGGGAAGCATTGTTTAACGTCTGTACCCTTTGTCAGCTGGTTGAACAGACCTCATTTGCTCATGCCTTGCCTATTTAAAAATCGATGTCTGCTTGTGGGTCAGGCGTTTGAGTTCAGTGCTAAAGGTGGAATACCTCATGCAAACCCTTCTTCTGCCTGAGCAACCGGGAATTGAAATTCGCTCGTTTTCTTTGTTATCCGCATCTTGACTGCTCCTGTCGAGATTTGGGCAACCTGGCAGAATTCCAGCTCTTGTGCTTCCTTCGGATGGCAGCTATGCGCTGAGAAAGTGGTGCCCACCAACAAAAGCAATCCTGGACGTGCACTACTATTAACGAGGAATCTTTCTAGGCAGTAGCGTCAAGTGTGTGGTTGGACTCGCCGGGTCTGACGGATTCCACAAACAACGAACCTGAACACGAAATTTATTCGTTCGTCATCATCGTCATGGACAGCACGACATTCGTGTTCAACACTGATGTCATACAACCACGATTTGTGTGAAAGCCTTATTGGGAAGAAAACAACAAAGGTGGACAGGGAATCGAACTTAATACTAGCTTACTACAATCATTCCGAGGTGCTTACACCTCCAGACACACCACTGACATCGATTAGCAGCCATATGTTGCAGCGTCTCCAATCATGCGCAATGAGGATCACTCGGTCCCCATCCTGGAAGGCCACCCACCCACAGCATCCAAACGTTTCGTAATCTCCTACATATCCTTTTGTCAGGTCAAAGGTTGGCCACCTCCCTGCTTCGGCCACTCTGAATCGGGAGCGGAAAACAGCACTCTGCGGCAAACGCACGTTTCCGGCTGGAACTCTGCAGTCTAGGTTTACAACCAAAGCTTTGTTCAACTTGAACCTCAAAGACAGTATGCCAGTCCTCACCCAGAGTATGGTTGTGCATTCTTTCTCCTCCTGTTGTCCAACGCAGTATGTTGAGCGCACGACACGGCAACTTTCTAATAGAATACGTGAGCACCGAAATGTCATTAGACTCAGTAGTTCAGCAAAAAGCTCAATTGCTCAATTCCACTTAATTGATACCAGGCACGTGGTCATTCCGAACGAGTCATTTCATGTCATCTATCCTGTACCCAGAATCGATCCAACGGTGTGACTTGACTGCAGCCGAATCAGTAGCCTGCGAAACCCGCTATTGTGCTGTCAAAAACGCTTCGTACGAACACTGAGTCTGCCTTGGTCGTGTGGCATGAATCAACCGGCCAAGTCACTTAACGGCCTTCTAGACTGTCTCATAGCATCCAATTAGCTGCGTCGTGGGGGCGCAGACAACCAGTCATTCGTATCTTCACGTTTTGTATTTCACTAACCAATCTTCACAGCGTATTTCATTTTCGCTTCTATTTTAACCATTAGATGAGGTCTGATAACGAGATCCTGAAAACCTTAATGTTCGTCACTGTCTTCCCAAAATCGAATCAACTATCGAACAAATGCTCAAGGTTCACAGCGTATTCATTTTCGCTTCTATTTTAACCATTAGATGAGGTCTGATAACGAGATCCTGAAAACCTTAATGTTCGTCACTGTCTTCCCAAAATCGAATCAACTATCGAACAAATGCTCAAGGTCTTCTACCCCCAGAGTGGAGATCCCTCCCAGGAGAGTCCTTATGGAGTTTGAGTATGCGGACGATTTTGCACTACTTGGATCAGATCCGAGAGGCATAACAGATGCCATGCGCTTTGGTATGCATTTTTCACCTTTGAAGACTGAGCGAGTGGACCGCTAAAGCCGGTCACGGCACCAGAACCACCAAGGACAATGAACAGATCTACGTGTGTGGGCAGTTGGGTGGCTGCATTACCGACAAAGTGAATGCCTGAATCGGTAAATTCCGTTCGGCTTCGTTCACCTTGGGGTTGACGTGACATTAGCCTGTCAGTGAAAGACAAGATCTACAGTGCGGCAGTGGGTTCAGCGTAATTTTACGGCTGTGAAGCCCGGTCAGCCGTGCGTGGTTGGCTTTGCAGTCGAAGCACTGGATACATATCATGAGAACATTGAATGAGTAATGTCGACGTCTTTGGCAACATGTCCAATAGGCGAGTTGATTCAGATAAACCAACTGTGCTGAGCTGGCCGTGTGCTCCGTACGTCAGATGATCAATTACCTCACTGTGTGCTGTTTTGCCCGGCCAAATTCCTAGTAAAAGATATTACAATGTGGTGAACACATGAGCTGCTGGATGAACAACAAAACAAAGTGCCTTGACTGTGTCAGGGAGCATCGTGTGCAACGGTGAGGTTTCAAAAATCCAACACATCGATAGTTGGAGGGACTCACCAACATGGCGATGTCACGCGATCAGTGGCAGTTCTGTATTTATACTGCCATTATCCACCATCAATTCGCCGTTCTGTTTTTTCTCTCGACTCCTTCTATCTTGCACTACCCACTGGCAAAAATTTGCAACGAATGGAGCCATTGTACACGAATACAGTTGTATAACTGAACTGAACTGAACCAACGACTCAAAGAGTAAGAATGTAAACATACCTGCAACGAGAAGCTGTCATCTGGGGAGGCAGCCGCACGAATTCTTTGGAGTACAGACTGTGGGTTAGAGAATAGCTGTCGACCGATTCCAGGGAAATGGAGAGCCCCATCTGCCATACGGACCACACGTCCCCAGGCTACGGGGACCAGGGCGGATGCGTCTGTGCCGTCTGAATCCGCGTTGGTACCGGAAAAGGACACTGACCCCAGAGCGGGTGACGCAGTAGTAGTCGTCACTGTCCCACCGGCAGACTGAACGGAGGTTCCGCTGTTCACCAGACTGGGTCCAGTGTGAGCTGTGCTCGTGCTGGTTGAACAGACGGGGCTAACAATTCTCGTCACAGCGTGTGCCGTGGCAGTAGTTGTCGTTGTTGTGCTCGTGATGGTGGCATGAAGGGGAGAGTGCTGAAGTGTAACAAGAGAATGAAAATACAACATACATGTAAGTAACAGGAGAGCCAGAACGAAGACAGACAGTACATTGGTGCGGTCCTGTTGAGGTCAAATTGCCAAGTAGCTTTGATTGGAGGTGTCGGACTGACCACAAACCTTTGAATTTTCTACTGTTTTCGGCGAAGAATGTCAAACTCAAACTGCTCAGTTGACCGTGCCAGCGATGGAAGCTATACTCTGCTTCCCAGGGAATACAGCTCTGCAGTTTGCTCGCTCATATCAGGTCAGCAACTTCATTGGTTTGTTGGGGTGAAACGTGCCAGTTTATTGTTTTTTTTTCGCTCAGAGACATACTACACTGGTTGTAGCCCATAACAACCGCACAAATATACCGGTTAACACTACATACACATACATTTCGACGGCTTGGGTTCGAATCCCAGCGCAATCATCACCAAATTGGATGCCGACGAACAACACTGTGCCACATGACTGTATTAAACGCCTTGTTCAGTTGGTCTTTCGAAGATTCATCGCAAGTGACGACCTTTCATCTGACTGTTTTTTTTTAAAGTAGCTCACAAACGATTTCTTCGCTCCTCACAATATTGTTATACTTCTTAGGTATGGACAATACGAAAACGAATAGCCTCTATCAAACAGTAGTACATAAGGGATCAAGCCGATTGCAAGGTGAAAGTTCGAAATCACGTGTGGTTGGTTTTCAAACAAACAACCCGTGGGGCAGGTCAACCAAAATCGGACTCAGCGAGACGCTTAGTTTAGCGCCATATGACCATATATGTAGGTCAGACCAAGATGAGTGCAGACGGTGAATGTAGTCGCTAAGCTGTAGCACCCTTTCGGTGCCTAACTGCCATGCCACCCGAAGGCTGCACGAGGGCTGGGATACTGCCAGGTTGTCCAAGCTTGAATAGGTCAAGTCCAAAGGCAGAGGTCGGGTTCGAAGCACGGACCTCCCGGTGAGTAAATTGGCGCTCTAACCACTTCGACCATCTCGTCCCAAGGTGAATGAAATGTGTCAAGAATCTGAATATATGTGAACATTGGACCTCAACTGAAAGAACTCTTCATGAACAGACTAAGTTACTTAGCTAGAGGTGAACCCTGTGATTCCACTATGGACAGGGCAGCCTCAGAAGAGACTTTGGGTTGATTCCTTGAATCATGTTACAGTGGTATGGTCCGTTTCAAAACTCGCTATTTTCGGCCGATCTGCAAAGAGAACGCTACAATTGCAAACAGATGCAGCTATCCTCTTCTCTATGAACAGCTTCAGAACAACTTTGGGTCACAGATCGATATTTCCTTGCTTAGTTATGACCCTCATAGTGACAGTTCTTGCTGGTACCTCCAGATGGCTAAGTCAAATCACAACTCCAAAAATGCGGTTCACAGTAGTTTTGCCAGTCTACTCTTGTGTCAAACTTCACTGGTGGATGTTCAAGTTTTCTGCCGCATGGAGTGCCACGTGACCGAATCAGTTCAGGGTGACTCAGAGGCCATAGTGCAACTTCCACCATGAGAAGCCAGAAAGCCAAACAGCGGCCCGGCCTTCGTGCTCCGCAAGAGTCATCATCAACATCACTGTTGAATTCCCCACGCGGAATTTTGAGAAAAGCGTTTACTGGTTAGTGTTTTCATACCTGTCCACCTCTCGGTCACTCCCCCTGAACATAGGGCTGGGCGAAAACAGCTCTGCGAGGCAGTCGATCTTCTGGCTTGCGGAGTACATGTCCGAACCAGCGTAACCAATGAAGCGTGAGTAATTCATCTACCATGGTGCTGTGGCTCACTGACGATGGCGCAACCTCTGTGTTGTTTCTTGGCTTCCTGCTCTGCCCAATATGATATACCAAAATGCACGGTAGCTTGAGACAGTCCTGTACGGAGACAGGAAGATTATTACAGCAGAGCTTCCCCGGTCTTCCCAACTACAGGAGCAGACAAAAGCATACAAAAATGTCAGCTGTCCACGTGCTCCAATCTAAAAAGAGCGCAGCTCTTATTGGCCAACATTTCACGCTAGCTAGCTGCTGTGAATTGCGGTCAGCCCTTCCGAGATCAATCTGCTATTGTGATTGTGAACGCGCGGAAGTCATGGCACGACAAGTAAGAGCACAAGGAGTAGACGAAGGAGGAATGCGGGCGGGTAAGTAGCTGTGGTAACACACACACGCGCGCTAACATGCTAGCGTACCAGTGTCGGACGAGATGGCCAATGGCCGAAAGGCCATGACAGAGCAAAACAGATGGGAGTCCACAAGTACACAGGCAGAGTAGGCAACTGAATGGGGGAGGTGTCCGGTTAGATTCAACACTCATCATCCTCATCAACAGTCGACGTGAACGACATGTCGTGTGAGGTCAGTCAATTGGAATGAACAAAGTGACAGTTTTGCGCCCAAAATGACGATTCAGGTGAATTTAGTTTGGTTTCTGACCATATGCAGCAATCTTTATGTGTAGAACGTAGGTTTAATTATGTTTTATCACAAAACAACTAGACCAGCTCGCACTTAACGATTGGAGGCAAGTGACAAACAAATATCCTGATACGACGAACACTACACGCCAGGGTTCAATTTCCGTGAAGCTCCAGTCCCCCTGGGTAGCATCTAAGATTGGTGCACCGGCCCCTGAACTGAAATCCTAACCTGTATGAAGAACTTTATCAGCCTGGATGGCGGTAGGCTAACGAGGTCGTAAACAATACCTTTTCTCATCAGTCTCCACGGTTCTGGAACGTTTAGGGTACAACACCATCCTCATGTATATATTTTAGAGTAAGAAATGTTCGAGTAACCAGCAGTGGATGGTGTCCAAAACGGATTGGACATCGGAAATTCCCCGGAAAATACCTTGGAATGATTGTTTTCGTTAAGTTGCGAAGACAGATAGAAGACAATGGAATTCACAACAAGCCCAGATATGATAAGAAAGACTTGCCAATTGTTCTGGCGAAGTTGTGAGTAAGGAGAGACGGGCTTCTCCAACTCCCAGCCCTGGACTGGTGGCATCCAGGGTCGGCGTCGGTAGGCCACTGGCGATTTGTGTTTGCTGATGCGAACCCAGGATTGGGGCATTCAGTGACTTCGGAGGGTTTGGAAATCTTGAGGGAACAAGTCTGCCACAGTTCATCGCCATCGGAGGAAGGTCCGGTCTGTTGGGTCGAATAGTCCTCGGTTTGGATTGAAAAGAGGTGGCAGTAACGGTGTTGCTCGGCTGATTGTTGGATGTTGTGGGAAGGGGTGCTGGGATGCAGGTAGGAGGTGACAGACTGTTGAATACACTAATCCGCGGCATTGAACCGTGCATCTGGCTAAATGGGTGACGAGGGGCACTGGGATGCGTCAAATAGGCATGGTTGGCGGTTGGTAATCCGTACAGATTTGTCGGAGCCGATAAGCCAGAGGAATTTACGAGGGTTGGCACTAAACCTCTCGCGCGAAGCTAGAGCATAATCAATGGGGGGGGGGCAGAACAAAAGGCAACATGTGACGGCAGTAGACAGATGCAAGCTAAAGCCACTAAAGTAACTCACGAATATGAATTGCGCAGTCTCAGAAATCATTTAATGTTCAAAACTTGCTGTCATCATGCTTGTAATAAGTATTGGTTGGTTCTGCATTCAAACCCGTGAGTATGCAACCCATAAAATTCAGGCAAATCAACCTGTCGGTCAGGAAAATTACAAGCCTCCTCGAATAGGTTTTCACATAAAATTCACCCAATATACAGTGGACCCCTCAATGAGGGACACCCGACGAAGAGGACCATAGCATCCCAATGTTGTTCCTACAAGTAATTTGTAGATACGTATCCGAAGAAATCAAGAGTAACCAGATGCATTGTATTCCACGTCCACTTCGATAGAGATTGGTTATCGAAGATAACAAACACAGACGTTGATTTTCGGAAACGTTTTAAAGGCTACACTGGTGGTATGTGCTGCACGACAGCACGCCTCTATTACAGGATGGATTACGAGCCTCACTAGCCGTTGAAGACACCATCCATATCCATCAGCATTATCAGAACCAGGTAGCTCTACCATCTTTAATCCGGAAAATCTAAGCAGGTGATAAGTGAAGGCCCACCAGGGGCTTGCAAGGCTCTTGATTTGCCACATCCGATCGTGGTGGTTCTAAACTGGGAGACATGCATTATGCGAATCCACAACCGAAAGAAAAATCGTTCAGCTGTATCACCCTCTCGGTGCCTGGCTGCCATGCCACCCGTGGGAAGCACGAAGGCTGGAATACTGCCACGCTTCCCAAACCTACGTCCAAAGGCAGAGGTCGAGTTCGAACTACGGACCTTCCGGTCAGTAAATTAGCGCTCTAACAACTCGGGCCATCTCACCTCTAAAAATCCACAACCCAACTAGGCTTAGGCTTCGCTTCATTCCGAAGAGGCAATTCAAACTGACTACCATTAGTGAGACAGTGCAAAATGGCCCGCCGACTTTTGGAGACTTGCAGTAGCTGACTTTACCCTTGCTTGCGTAGAGGTCAAGTTGAAGCGGAACGCAGAAACAAAGTGAGTGAACGACGTCCACTGTATCTATACCAAGACTGACTACAAGAACAATGGTGGTTAGTGAGCGAACGACACCTGACCAATTAGGCGCTGAATGGAAAGAAGACCTGTCTGAATGAGTGTGCACATCAACTGTCTGGAATGACTATCGCGACGTGGCTTTTTTCTGCATAGTTCGCATTTTTTTATACGTCTGAACTACGGAATTTCATTCGATAAGCACCAATTCTCGTTGGATGAGCTATCGACCGTTGGACTCCAGAATCGACGGCAGGAACCTCCAAACATCTGATCGCAGGCCGGAGTTCTTAGCGGGCCAGACGAACAAAACAAGGTCTAACGATATCGTGACAAATTTAACTTATGTAAATATCAAGTGCTGACAAGTGTGTACCTACACAACTGGACCTCTTCAGAAGCACGGAAGTTCGAAGAGATGCAATGGAAAAAAATCGTTCGGATTTAGAACTCTTTCAGACCCTAGCCGCCATATCAGCGGAAGGAGGCACGAGGCACTGCCTGGTTCCCCAAGCCTAGACAGGAGCAGTCGAAATGATGAGGTTTGGTTCGAACCACTGACATCCGCTCCGTAAGCTGGCGCCTTAATCACTGAGCTATCTCGAGACACGTAGAACCAAACCGTCGCTTTTGACATACAAACCGATCTTTCAGTCACAATTCGAACAGTGAGAATTACTTTTAGCCGGTCATCGCTCACTTTCGTGCGGCCTGAGGGTTGGATACGGTTCACCATTGAGAAAGTTCGTTTGCCAAAGTAGACAGTTTCCAACACAATAACCCTTTGCAGGGAAAGACAGCGAATCATGTATGCGTGTTCGTCAACCTGACAATCGATCGGATCAACAAACAGACCCACACATACTGTGATGTTTGGTCGGTTCGAGAATACAGGGGCATCTTTGACACATTGGTCCGTAACTTCCGGTGTCGGCGAAGCCCTCGGTCAGCTGTTTTAGTATGGACCACCCAGGTAGACAGTTCTTAACACTCTTTGTTGACAAGGAAAGATCAGTTCAGTTCATTGTTCCGGTTCAGAAACTGCTCATCGAAATGCCACAGCTTCTTTATCCGAGGATAAAGAGAATAAAAGAATGAGAGCCATGCGTCGGAGGCCATGGCCCAATCGGTTCATTGATGTCGTGTGGTTCTGTTTGTCTGGTGTGGCACGTATTGAGAGCTGAGCGGTGAAGGCGACAGGTTCGGTTCGAAACCTCCATTGGCTGCGCAACACAGACATATTTGTCAGGGTCACTAACGATTGATTTGTCTTGTACCGCGGTTCCCATCCGCGAAGACAGCATTTACCAACGCGACTGAGTTGACTGGTAAGGGCTTTCAGGTTTCGTTGATAGATCATGGAGTGACGACCCCTGTGTTTCCTTCATCCAACATTAGGCTGGGCAAAGAGAAGTCAACAAGGTAAACGGTCCTCTGGCATACTACCCGTACAACATGTGAGATGCGACCAGCCGATCTATCAAGGGAGAATGGACTATCTTGAAAATCATCTGGCGTACTGCAGCCTCAATGATACGGTGTTTCCACCAGACTCGCCCAATGTTTAGAAGGTACTTGTGGTCAAACACAGACTCTTCAAAGGTCTTTCACACGCAAAAGCCACGCCTTTAACTCATAAATTAGGGCAGATGGGACTGCGGCATTGTACATTTTACTCTTAACAGTCAACGTGATGTCACGTCAGCGTCACAAATGTGGGAAGTTAGCAAACAATGTCATGGCCTTCCCGATTCGGCAAGTGGTCTTGTCTTCTGTCAGGCCACCGAGACTTATGTAACTGCCCAGGTAAACGAACTTATCTACTCCATCTATCGGTTCATCTGTAAGCACAAGGTTTGCGTTCAACGCCTCCCAAAAAATCGCATTGGCAATTCACACTTTGCAAAGCGCGTAGCGTACTGTGCATCAGGGGGGCGGGATGGCGCGAATTTACCGACTAGAAGGTCCGTGAATCGAACCCGACCTCTGCCTCCCGACTTTCTCTGTCTAGGCTTGGGTGACCTGGCAGTATCCCAGCCCTCTTGCAACCTTCGGGTGGAATGGCAGTTACGCACCGAAAGGGTGCTACAGCTGAACAATTCCTTTCTTCATCGGAATTAGTTAGCCTACTTAGGATCACGTATGTATATCCGTCAGCCTGACGATCGATCAGACCAACAAACAGGCCCACTCACACTGCACTCTTCTTCTGGTCCAGGAATACCGGGGTTCCGCAACTACTGGCTAGTGCCGGGAAAAGAACATGCCAAAGGACTGGATGACCGCGGTCAGACTTGTTACTATTATTGCTTTTGCTCTTCTTCAAAAATGAGAACAAAGCCAATTGCATATTCCAGGTCGACAAGGTCTTCGCTCGAAGAGATCCGAATACCAAGGTTTTGGAGATCTTACGGTGTTCACTACACTATCTCATCAGTGACGAAAGTAAACAAAAATGGAGAGAGTGAACACCAGTAATTGTGGGAAAGTCTTTGAAGAGCTCCATACATACTATCGTGCCCTCACGAGTATGGGAATACAAACAGCGCACTATATTCACGAACAAGTTGCACGTGTTGAAAAAAACCCAGAGAAGTCAATTAACACGCAAGGCACGTATACGTATGCCGTTGCTCTAATACTTCAGTGGGAAGATGTCGTCCACAGAACCCCGAAAATCTACTTGGTGTTTGTGTGTCCTCTCTTCATGTACCTTCGTAAGACGACACGGAATAAGCGACACATAGTCTGGTTACGTGTGATTGGTGTACTCAGTGCGAACACCTTTTTTTCACAATAGACACCACAATCGACTCACCCCGGTTACTTTCGCCCAGATAGAGCACGTTAGTTAGACAAGCGCCGACTAGGGATTTCACCTGCATCCAAGAAACAGAGCAGGTGAGGACCATCAGAAACAGCCGCCTGGTGATGCTTGAGGGATGAAATGTACTCTCCCATTTCCGAACCTGCTGGGAGGTCTGAGTTCACCGTCCAGGTCCGCGTTGCCGGTTGAGCCAATTCGATAGTCAGTTCAATTTGTCTCGAAAGTGTTCAACCCAATGGCATTGACACTTTTCTTTCTTATAGATAGGCGAAGCGTTCTGATCTATGGTTGTTTCGCCCACCAGAGGATTTTCTGGACAGCTGGAACAGTTTACTTACATCCCCTGAGTTTCTCGCCTTCTCAATCTCCTCAGCTTTCTGAGTCCACCAAACTTCTGGGTCCGCACGGACCGCCTAGCTGCATTGTATTAAGTCAGGACGAATACGTCCGAGGCTCGAGCAATTTTAGAATGCTGCTCGAGATCTAATGCTTACATCCAGTTGACTGCGCCATTCCGCAAGCGCAGTGACCAACATTGTGCAGGGTTGTGGGTAGTACCTTCCAGTAAGAGTCGACATCCGAAAAAGTGTTGTTTGAAAGAGACTTCAGCAGGTGGATTTGGTAGATTTGCTTCACTTCAGGATCCAGGAGCTTTCCAGGCGAGGTGTGCACATCTTTCGCTCCCCCGAAAACCACAAAAATAAGCGGCATCGTGTGACTCGAATCCACGTAATCTATAGCTAATGGCGCTGTGGTCTATCGACGTCACTGCTTGGCTCGCATGGGGCGGGCCCCACGTGGCCAAGCAGTCTCGGTTTTCAGGAAGTCATTACTGCACAGAAGCAGTCTGTCTCAGCATGTGACTTCAACAGAAGGTCGTTGCTTTTCGAATTTCTGAATTTCAGTTCAAGTTGACCACCTGATAGAGCCCCAGAAACGTTGAGTTCACCTACTGGTGTATTCATATCCCCGGCAACCATAACAGATATTGAGCTCTTAGCTGACCGCAAGAAGGCGCTCAAAGCACTGTAAAAGCTGTCTCTCTCAGAGCGTAACCAGAAACAGCGAACAGACAAGGCGCACCTTGTCTCACAGACCTTGCCAGACAAACCACCTCGGAGGGATTATCAACGGGTGACGTTTCAAATAGAGACCTTTCATCTCGGTGGCTTAGAGCAGTACCAACAGGAGCAGAACCAGAGGCAGCGGTATCTGGATCATCAGAAAACAACGGGAAGGTCAATTCAATAACCATATTTGGTTCCTGAACCCTCGCTTCGTAAAGGCAGCACACATAAACAGAAAACGAGTCCAGCGTACATTCAAGAGCAGTCTGTTGTCCGGCTTGTTTACAAACGTTGAAGGCCGTCAGATGAACTGAGTGTCAGGGGTTTAAGAATGACTTCGAAGTGTCTGTGGAGTCAACGGGTAAGGGCAATGGATGGCGGATGGGCCTACGGAGATAGCGCGAACAACGGAACAAGGAGAGGAGAAAAATGAATAAGCGAAACAGAAAAGGGGGAGGCGTCAGCTTACCCGGTGCTCACGTATGCAGTATTTAAGGCGATACGCTTGATGGTATCACACAATGGCCGACAAGGAATGGTATTTTTGTTAAGTGTACAACTTATGTTTGTGCTTGGGTTGGGATACTGTCAGGGCGCTCAAAGCTAGACAGGACGATTAGTGGCCTCAACAAAAACCTCAACCAGACTCAAAAGCGTAACCGCATGGCAGCGGATGTTGGTGCAAGACTGTCACAGCAAACTGCATTTCTAAGGAGCGAGTAGCCGGACATGTTACGATCCCCAACCTGGATGACCAGGAGACTGGTAGTCAGATCTCCACCTGTTGACCAACCTTGTACGGAAGGATCTGTGAGTCCACAGTATAGTGCAACGGGTTAAGGAGATGTACAAACCGTCACCGTCCCACCGAGATGAACAGACTTGGTCATCGTCTCACTGGAACCACATGGCTCTGAGTTACGGATAAAGAGCTTCAGTAAAAGGTTGCCGTTCCGCCTGGGGTTCACAACTTGAATTCAATCATGCATTTTAGCGAGCTCGGTTATCAACTTGTTTTTTCTTAGGATTACGCACGCCGATGTAGGAAGATTCCGTTCACTAACTTCAACGGGTTTCAGTTGGTCTAATCACGAGCTCCTATGACTGATCAGCTCCTAGAAACGCATAGCCCAGCTGAAGATGAAGTCTAGTTGGAGGGTGAACAGAACAGAGTGAAAAAAGCTGTCCCCAACTTTTAGTTCCGCCTGTCCCACCGTCTGATTTTATGGAGGTCATCAGATGGCTTCGATGTCACACCAGCAACTGGGATGCCGTTCAAACGCCGGATAACCAAGAGCCTGAAGAATGACGGAGAACGCTGGTGGGCTGAACAGTTCAAGGAACGAATCAACTTCTGCAACACAATGTCTGGAAGGATCAAACGAATTTGGTTGAAAAGTTGGAACAAATCCCCTACCACGATAACGCTCCCTATTCGAGGGGTTGGCATTCTGCACTTTACTAACAAGGCAATTAATCCCTGGTGAGTCTTACGACCCTGCTACAAACGATTCGAACAAAAACGGAATACCGGTAGAATGGGGCGCCTCGACCGTGACTCCCATATCCAAAAAAGCGCAGAAACGTCGAGCAAACGCATCTATTGCATCAGTTTGAAGGCCGCTGTATCTTAGATGCTCTCTGGCATTATTTTGCGCAGTCCGATCGACATAGATCCGCAAGAATCTATGTGGGTTTTGCCCCAGTCGAGATACAATATGATAATGATAATCGTTCAGCTGTAGCGCCCTTTCGGTGCCTAGCTGCCATGCCACTAGAAGGTTGCACGAGGGCTAGGATACTGCCAGGTTGCCCAAACGCAGACAGGAGAAGTCGAGAGTCAGAGGTCGGGTTCGAACCACGGACCTTTCGTTCAATAAATTCGCGCTCTAATCACTTGGGCCATCTCGCCCCCCCCCAGTCGACAATGCATTGACCACATCTTTACCTCGAGACAGTTCCCTGAACAGCACCACTCTTTCGAACGTCTCAAATTGGTAGCTTTTGCTGATCTGAAAGTGGCGCTCGATTCTATCGACCGTCAGAAAGTTTGGCCAAATCTATATTCCTTATGAAACCACCGTATGCGAACTCCTGTGGCCGCTTAAGGTGTTTTCCCGAGCTCACCACTTCGGTGGTGTATGACAGAGCTAAACTTTCTCAAGATAACTCTTTAACTTTGCCATTACCGAGTGGTCAGAGCACGGAAGGTCCGTGGTTCGAACCCGACCTCTACCTCTCGACTTCCCCTGCCCAGGCTTGGGCGACCTGGCAGTATCCCAGCCCTCGTCCCCCTCCGTGTGGCACGGCAGCTAGGCACCGAAAGTGTGCTACAGGTGAAAGATTACCCTCCCTCGTTCAGGTCCTTCAAAGGTGGAAGCCATTTCAAATAATGATGTGACACGGCTTGGTATGCGCTTCGCATCTGTAAGTTACAAGGTGTGTTGTAGGACTGGGTGGGATCGAACCCAAACTTCATACTTGCAGGCTGGTGAATCTGTTTGGTAGAAAAATTTCCTTACCTGGCAAGTTGTATTGGTCTTGGTAGGTTGATTGGAGACGAAATTCCCTCTCTAACCGGGAAGGCCAGGACAGCTTTTGCTAATCTATGACACTGGGGTCAGTGGTTCAATATAGCTACAACGGTGCGATCGGCTCTGCCTTATAAAGAAGCAACTGGCCTTCACGCGAAGAGGATGCATCGCCTCAAACGTCGAGCTATATCTCCCCTGTTGTCCCATCTTTCGGTGACAGAAACTCTTGGTAAATGGTAAAATAGTTGATAAAGTAAAATGGACTGACACTGTGTTGTGGTGATAGACGCCCATTTTCGAAGGGATACTCTACCAAAATAAACTATCCGTGAAAACCTAGACGGGGACAAAAAACCGTATCACCCAACCTACATCATGGTGTTGTTCCGCTAACTGAGACGGCGCCATTCCTGCTGATATCAGAATCGGTGTGAGTTGGGACAATGTGGGAACTGTCGAA